TTGCCGCCGCCAACGAGCGACCTTCTTCCCCGCGCGCCGAAGGTGTCGCGGCTCGAACAAAAGTCGCTTCTCCCCGAATTCCTCGGGTTTCGCCGGTCAACGCGACGGCACGATTAATCGACCAGGAAAGAAAGCGCGGAGAGGCAGAAGAAGCTCCGTCACGGAAGTGCGCCTCCGGCGCGCGGCGATTTCGGTTTTGGAAAGCGTCAAATCGGCCACTTTCACGAGGCGAGCTCTATTCGCTTTGCCAATAACTAGTTTGCCCGCTCTATTAACTGCTGTTTGTTTCTCCGGCGTTCTTCCAAGGGCGACCGTTGCTGCTCGCTCCCGGAGAAAAGTCCTCCCCGGGTCCCACGGAGAACCTGGTCGCGCGGAGATCGTCACGAGATCCTCGACCTCGCGCGATTCTCGACCTCGTCGCTGCACTCGCGCCGAATTTCGCACGCACCGTCGCGCACGATCCGCGGGACAACAATCGCGCCGATCTCACCCTCGCCTCGCGGCTTCCTCGCAGCGACGGCCATCGCGCAGAGGCGATTCGTAGGCGTTCGTCGATCACCTGTCCCGGGAAACACTGTTCGGGGCCATTCGGCCGATCGCACGGAAAGTTGAGCGAGGCGAATTAGCTTTTTTTTCGAAACGAGAGCCAATTTCGTACGTGATCGAAGTTAAGAGCCTGTCCTCCCTTGCTTCACTAGACGCGCGTCACTGCTCCTCGGAAATGTCTCGTCGATCTGTTTGCTCTTCTCCTAAGTCGTTATTTATGTATATTTTGAACGTGTTGAATGGTTGACTCTGGCGAATCTAGTCGCGCGCACGCAAATCCTCGTCGTGCCGGAAATCATGCGGCGCGGATCAGTTGGTCTCCGAAATCGTCCGCGGTCGAACGTTCGGATCCAGCGTTACGTTTGTTCCATATCGCAAAATGAACTCGTTCGAAAGCAACTCAGCTGAGCTTGCGTAACGAGAAACGCGCGCAAATCGCAGATGCGTCGAATTCCCCGCGTAAAACCGCGCCACAAAATTCCTCGGCGACGCCGCGGTCACCGGCAACAGGAATTAATGAGTCTTTCCTCGTTAAAATCTCTAACGAGTTCAATCGCAATGAAATCGCATGCCTTCCTCCAAAATTCAGTGTCTGCTGCAGAGTCCACGAAAAAGTCGATTTTTCCTCAGAACGACTGAAATCCTCGGCGATAATCGAACCGTTGCTCCTTAATCGGATACTTAAACTCCACGCATTTAATTTTCAACACCGAAATAACTTTTCTTAACTCGTGCAGGGTCTTCAAGCTTTTCCAGCTACGTCTGCTGAAATGCTACGATCAATCGAAAAGATTTTGTTTCTTCCACAAAAGTAGCCCAGCTCACTGAGCGAACCACACCAGGCGTCCAATTTTCGGCGCCAAAGTCCCCCCGCGGCGCACTCTCGGACAACGATCGTCGCGTCGCGGTCTCGATCGCGATCGATGAGGACCCGCGGGGCGAGGTGTGAGGCGAGAAAGACCTTTCGCGGACGCACGTATGGACGTATGGACGGACGGACGGACGGACGGATGGGTCGCCGACTAGCCACCACCCACAACTCGCTAGTGACTGATTCCACCATAGCCGCATAATGTGCTGCTGCGGTATACCCCGGTGAGGACTATCACTTCTCCCACCAGAGAGCCCGGGACAGCCACCGTTGCGAAGCCACGACTTTTAACCAGGATGCATCGCCGCCGCTCGATCGCTCGCGAGCGACGGACCACGGCGTTTCGGGGGACTGTCCCTTGATTTTTTCCCCGAGATTAAGGGTCGGAGCACAAAGCAACGTAACAGCTCACGACAAAGACGCAGGCGTAAACGCAGATAGCGCACAAAGTTTGGCGTAAATGTAACGTCATATGCAATTGGAGGGGAAGTACGACATACGAAGCTTGTGCGCTAATCTACGTAAGCTATTACGTCGCTCTGTGCCATGCTCTGACCCTAAAACCAACGGCACACGGTACTATTTTTCCTACTGGATCGTTTACGAGAGCCAGTAAGGATTCAGAGTTTTAAGCCAACGCCACACGATACTGTTTTTCCTACTGGATTGCTTGCGAGAGCCAATAAGGATGCAGAGTTTTACATCAGATGACTTAAAGCTGAATCTTGATTGGCTCTCGCAAGCAATGCAGTAGAAAAAAAATAGTATCGTGTGCCTAGATCAGGTGACTTAAGGCTAAATTGGCTCTCGTAAGCGATCCAGTAGGAAAAATATTGTATTATAGTATCGTGTGCCGTTGGCTTAATTCGAGAGATCTCGTCCCCTCGAAACCCCTCGACCTGACTCTTTTCTCACTCGACTTCTCGCATTCTTCCGGTGTTAATTAAAATCCGACGCGTTGACGTATACCTGTATTCTGAATCCTCTTTTGTCGTTAAAAGTGCCGGGAAAACATTTTTTCAGTCAACAAAGAATCCTTCGAGGCTAGTTTTAGCAGATAAAAGAGGATATTCGGAATATGGATCGTTGTATCTAAAGTTAGATCCCCTCATTCAGCGTCGCTGCTTGTGGATAAGAACACAATTGGAGAACCGAAACTTATTAATATTTCAAGAGACCGCTACGGACGCGAGAGAAAACAAGCAACCGAAGTGTTTTATCCTCGAGATTCTTCCGATTACTTGAAACTCACCCGGGGAGAGTTATCCTTCGTTCGATTACATTTAAATCCCGCGACATGGTAAAAATGTGAGAGTTCAGAACGATTTTTTTTATACGCGATACACACGCAACGGCGAGAAATTGATAAGAAGCGAGCGTACGTGTCGGAGCGAGCGGGGACGGTAATAGAAAGCAGAGCGGACGTATTCAGTCTTATCGCGCCGAAAGGATCGTGGCAGGGCCGGGTCCGACAGATCGGAAATTCACGATATAAGGAGGGTCGCGGGGAGCGTGTTGATACAACGGCGGTTGACATTTGCGCGTCGCCTCGCGTGTCGTAGCCCCGCGGCAGAAAAGTGTTTTCGAGAAAGAGACCCGCGCGCCGGCGAGAGTAAGGCTGATGGGAGAGAACGATCTGTTTACGACTGCTTAGTCGTAGCGGAGAAAAACGTAAGTCGTAAAAGGCTATTGTGTACGACTTACGTTTTTCTCTGCCGCGCCTTACGTCTACGACTAACAATAAGACAGTCTCAGACTGATTCTACAATAGTCGCAGTGAGTCGCAAGCCGCAAGAAATTGGTCGATTATTCTTCTCATATTTGGCTGTGATTGGTCGCTTTCTTGCGACTTGCTGCGTCTACGGTAGAACCAACCTTAGGGCCTGAGCAGAAAGATCGTCGTAAGTGTTTACGATTCCGTAATAAGACGCAAGTCAATGTGACAGTCTTGCGATAAATACAACATACGTCTACGACAATTCTTTGTGCATTGACTTCTGACACAGACTTAAGCCTTGCGACGGCATCGTAAACGGTTACGACAATCTTTCCGCTCAGGCCCTTAAGCGGATCGTTCTCTGCCATCAGCCTAACGCGCGGCGCCTGCGATAGCCTCAGGCTGATGGCAGAGAACGATCCGTAAACGCTTAAGACTGTCTTATGTTAGTCGTGGACGTTAGATAAGGCAGAGAAAAACTTAAGTCGTGTACAATACACTTTCACGACTTTCACGACGGCGAAGTTTTTCTCGGTCTTATCTTACGTCTACGACTAAGACAGTCTAAAGGCCGAATCAGACTAACAATTGCCGACTCGAATTGGATTGGAATTGGAGAATAACTATTGTCCTCTACACGGAGAGAACTTTCTCGAAAAATTTATCCAGAAAATCATGTAATCGTCAGACAACACGGCAGTTTGAAGAACTTTATGAGAGTTTTTAAAATTTTATTATACCATACATTTTACTAGTAATTATACTTAGTTTACATTTTACTAGTGAAATGCATGGCAAAGTTCCAAAAACCTCTCATAAAGTTCTTCAAAATGCCATGTCCCACGATTTTCAGGATAAATTTTAAGAATAAATTCTCTCCCAATCCAATCCGTGCCGGCAATTGCTAGTCTGATTCGGCCTTAACGCGCGGCGCTTGCGATAACGAAGCGTTTTCTTGAGCGATGTCGCAACGCGGGCCGCTCTCGCCGCGGCTCGGCGCGGTATTGGCCGAGCGGTGCGGCGTGGCACAGCATTGTGAGCCGGGGTAGCGGCGGAGAATTGCCTACCGTGTATTATGTGTGGCGAACGCCGTAACTGATCCCGGCGCTGCATCATTTCTCGGAACTGCGTCAATCAAGCGCGCGACACCCAAGTTCGCCGTGTGCGTGTAACCGGTAACACGCGGCGAAATTTCACCGCGATCGTTAACGCCGGGGCGGCTATTTTCGTCTCGCGCGGACGATCTTTTCCCTCGTTCCACCCTCGCGCGAAGGCTCGACACGAAAAATGCAAAAAAAAAGAAAAGAAAGCGTTCGCACTTAACAATTTTGTTTCTATTATTTCGAACGCGAGACACGTCACACGCGTAAGGCTGGTATTACATTTGGCGTACAAATTTGTCGACGAATTTGCGTACCGATTGGTTGCAGGATGAAAACAAATTGTCGAATCTTAAGAGACTTTCTATCTGATCAGTTTCGGAGCCGATTTTTTCAACCTCTTGGTAGTTAAATTGTACGTCTTTGTCTATTTTGCAGGAAAAACAAAGACACACGCGTGACTTGAACTATCAGTTAACTTACCAAGAGGTGGAACAACCGGCCCCTCAGTCAATCAATACGCTTTAAAGGTTTGTCGCACGACAAGTGAAATAGTACTCCAAGAATGTTATTTCTTGAAATCTTCACTTGGCGCCTTTCTACGCGCCATCAAAGTCTTCGTTCGGCAAAATATACCAACGCGCAGCTTCCATTTGTGCACGTGGACTTACATCTGAGATACTTAAATGCAGGCCGATTAAATGCTTAAGTGACTCGCGCAAGGTCAATTGTCTCGTGCAAAGTTAAGTACATGATTGTGACTCACCCTATGTGGACAGCACTGCGCTTCTGTGCCATTTTGTTCGGGTCGCTCCCTGCACAGAAAATAATGCACGTTAGCGTGGTGACAAAACAACGTCCTTGCAAGGCTCGACTCGAAGGCGTTCCAGAAGGTACGAAAGCGAGGGATAAACCGCTGAGGGCATTGTGGTGTACATATTACTAGGCGTCACTCGCCTTTTTCGGGACATCAAAGCCTACGTCCACGACGCTAGAACTCGGTCCAAGTTCTAATTACGAGAAATGTGCAGCCAATCACCTTGCAAGGTTACTCCATAGAGCTGTAAGTTGATTGGCTGTACATTTCTTGGGGAGAATTCTCTCTCGGAATTCACCCTGAAAATCGTGGACAGTTGCGAGACAATGTGGCCGTCTCGAAGAATTTTCTGAGAGCTACTTGAAATTTTACCATGTGCTTCAGTAAAATTGATTGAACGTCTTTTCTCGTGATGGACGTTGATTGCTCGTCGCAGCGGATACCAGAGAGCTCTCGTACAATTCTCCGAAACGCCACGTTGTCCCACGACTACCGTGATGTTCAGGGTAAATTCTACAAAGGGGAACTTCTCTCCCCACTTACATTTAATGCTCTATATCGTCCCGTTACATGATTTACATCATCTCGAGATAAAAGGCTTGTTTCCTGTTGCTGCAATAAATTAGAGTACAGGTCTGTGTCCACGACGCCAGAACTTGGGCCAAGTTCTAGTTCCGAGAAATGTGTAGCCAGTCGACTTGCAGCTTCCATGGAATAGCTGCAAGTTGATTGGCCGCACATTTCTCGAGACTAGAACTTGGACCACGTTCTAGCGTCGCGGACGCAGGCCTTTAGACAAGTATATTTTTTCTCATCTTAGCTTACTGCACTAGTTCGCCAGTGCAGGAACAGAAAACAAACCGAAAGATGGACAACAGTCTGGTGACTACGATTGGACGACGCAGTCGAGCTCGAGAACCAGTCGCATCTATGTCGTTCGACATGTTAAATGCTACAATCGATCCTCCTTTCTTCTCCCGCTTCTAGAATCAAAACCGCGTGTCAGGTGAGGATTTTCGCTCAGGCAACAGTTCGTCGACTATCGCTGCAACAGCCTCCCACCGCGTCAGTGCCAGCATCGAAACAACGCTAACCATAGTAGGTGGACTTTTATTATCGCGCCTGGTACGAGGGTAGCCGAGAGATCGTCAGCCGCTATTCGACCGAGCCCGGAGTTCATTCCGCCTGGCCGTGCACCCCGCGCGGCAAACTGGAGCAATTTAGGCGGAACGTGGTAGTCGCGTCCGAATAGCGCGTGCACGCGCGAGCGGGGAAGAAAATGGCAGGGAAGCGAGCCCTCGCGCCTACCGCGGGGCCGTCGCGCGGCTCCTCGCCGCGGTAGGCGAGCGGTTCCACGAGCCCGACGCGCGGGCGGACGAGGTAACAAAACCCCGCGGCCGATTTTACCTGGAATAGAATGGGCGATCGAGGATACCGTGAACATTCAGCCGGAATTTCCTGTTGCCACGGTGCGACGGAAAAACGGGGCGCGCTGGGGGCGCGAGAGGATATCGACGCGGGCGTACGGCGGCTTCCACACTCCGCACCGACATCAAAACTGGGTGTTTACACTTGGCAGTCGCGCCATTTTGGAGTTTCCACTCGGCTCCGGGGTTTTATTTTCACGCACGCACACGGGGGCCCCACGGGAGCGCCGCGGGACGACGGAAAGCCGTGCGCGCGCGATCTGTCGGCGGCGCGGCGCAAGATCCCGGTGCCAGCGGGGCCCCGGATTCGTCGGATTCTCGGCAATCCGTTGATACGGCAGATACCGCCCCGTCGGCCCCGATCGTCGCGGCGTCCGGATCGGCGAGGCGGGATCGGGCGCGCGGATACTCCGTCGAGCCGGTCGAGAGGCGTCTCCGGCGCGCGGACTCCACGGGGCGACGAATAAATCCGCCGAGAAACGCGCGGATCTACCGCGGGCGCGTACACTGACTGTCATCAGTCGAGGCCTTTTTTGGGTGTAGATAAGCGCGCCATCTCTAGGCCTCCCGCGTGAGTCTCTTCCGGAGATCGAATCCGGAGAGACGCTCAACATGTTTGGACAATGGACAAATAACAGACGCTCCCCAGCAAGGGTTGACACGGTGTAACACCGGAGAGAAACCTGAGAGCGGCCACGCCCGCGTTTTACTTGAATGCTGCTTTGGGAGGCTGCTTTGCACGTCCTTACGCCCATTTTTACTTTTGCAACTATTTCGTTACGCATTTTCTGACTCTGTCGATAAAGGGAGCTTTCCAGCAAGCGACACAAGTCGACATAAATGTCGTTCTGTCTTTCTTCGCATTCAATGAATAATAAAGACAGAACGACACTTGTGTCGACTTGTGTCGCTTGCTGGAAAGCTCCCAAAGTTTCGTGTCTGTGCTGTGCGTTCTGACAGCTATTTCTTTTAATTTACAATGGCCGCGTTCAGCAGACACAACTGTTGAGTGAGCGCTCAGTATGATTGGCTAATACTTCTAGATCCAGCCAATCACTTTAAGAAATCATTGAGCGCTCACTCAACAGTTGTGTCTGCTGAACGCGGCCATTGTCTACATGAAAAAAGTTGATGTAAACATCAACTCGCGTAAACTTACACGGTTGGTGTCGCGCGCGTGGTTAGGCTTGTCGCTTATACTTAGTCGCTTATACTTGGCGCGAGACACTACCGTGTCTCGTGATGTAGGTGATTTATGTTAATGTAATTTTGACATTTGCAGCACAATTCTGAACAATAGGCGTAGCATTTACATGTTATGTAAATTATGGCGACTTAATGCTCGATGCTGTAATAATCGACTATGATTGGTCAATTCTTATCTGTCTGACGGAATTGACCAATCGCAGTCGATTATTCTCAAGGCTACGACTCTGCGACTCTCATTGGCTGCGTTCAGCAGACACAACTGTTGAGTGAGCGCTCAGTATGATTGGTTAATACTTTTAGATCCAGCCAATCATATTAAGAAATCACTGAGCGCTCACTCAACAGTTGTGTCTGCTGAACGCGGCCATTGTAAACCCAGCGTTATGCTATGCATATGCAGCTATGCAATTTTGTGTGCGATGGCCCACAGCCCCAAGCTGTGCTTCCCGCTTATCGCTATGTCGTTATCGCTTAGCAGTGTGCAAGGGCCGATGAAGAGACCCGGTACTGGTCGGTGCATCATCGAAGGGTCCGTTCGCACGAGCTCGTCGTTACGTATGTTTCGTCGTCGCGTTTCGCTGGTGCTATCGATTCCCGATCAATATCGAAAAACCGGAGACTCGAATTCCCATCGGACGCTGCGATTTCGCGCGCGCGTGAGGGTGCTTTCACATGGGGCGTAAGTTGCGTAGCGTAACCTGCGTATCACCAATCACAGGGTCATGCTGATAGAACCGTTTCAATAATTCCGTTGAACTAGTCCTGCGATTGGCGATACGCAGGTTACGCTACGCAACTTACGCTCCATGTGAAAGCACCCTGACGCGACTCGCAATGCCCGCGTTGCGAACGCGCCCTAAAGGTGCTATTACATGGAAGCATCGTGCGTCGTGCGTCAAGCGTCAAACGCGCGCGCAGCACCTTTGCGCAGATGTCTAAACGTGCAGATTTCAGCGTCTGAGGCCTTCACACATAAAATTCCGTAAGGACGTAAAACGTAAGCGTAAGAAAATCAACAGATTGGATTTGCTACTGCTTGCGTCATTGCCTTACGTTCTCGACTGTGATTGGTCGATTTTCTTATGCTTACGTTTTACGTCCTTACGGAATTTTATGTGTGAAGGCCTTTAACGCTAAAAATGGCCGGCTAGTGGCACGTGGTGGCACGTCGATAAACGCCGTAGAGGTTATGGTATACACTATTAACATAGAAAATTTATACGTAATCATATTCCGTACAGATATTATTATTTTTGGTAATATTTATTATATAATTCCATGGTTATTTATGGGTATTATATAAACCATGGTTACGTTCTAATATGCGCCAATTGCGGAATTACATAATAAATATTACCAAAAATAATATCTGTACGGAATATGATTATTCGGCTGCAAATAATAAAATACAAAACAATACCTAATGTCGAACGGTGTCCTACAATTACGTTTAATCCGAACCGCCTGCGCGGATTCCGCTGGATCCCTCTGGATTGCCGCATTCCTCGGCCTTTCCCTCCGTTCCGTCGCCGCTCGCTTACCCCGTCGATGCCGATTTGAACGAGAGCGCAGCAGTGATATCAGATTTGCGTTTCTGCCACCTAGCCACCGCGGTAGTGGGGGATGGCGCGTGGTGGAAATTCGGCACGCACACAATCACGCGGTCGTGTAGCGGTCGGCGGGCTACA